TATATTACAAAATAAGGATAACGAAATTTATAATATACAAAATAATTAAAATTTTGAATTTTATTATGTTTTGATGATATCGCTATCAGTAATCAATTAAATATTACCAGAGAATATTATAAAATTGTTTTTAACCTCCATAAAAAAGTAACACCAGAATCTGTCTTTTTCGCACATTTGTTGGCTTCAATATATTTCACTAATGCTTAGTCTATATATTATAAGTCTATGGCGCGATCCACAATATTGCTATCAAATGGTCGAGACTGCTGTCATCTCGGTTAATGTTTCAATGCTATATATTGCGATTATGCATGTGATTTACTTTATTTATTTAGATTGAAAACATGATTTAGGTTAACAACTAGCGAAGACCGATTAAATGGGCTAGCACAGCTTCATACCCACAGGGACAAAAATATGAATATAGATAATATTATTATACACTTTGCTAATCAAAAAAAAAAAAAAAAGGCATATATGCTTTAATTATAATTATTATAAGATAATGAATTATAAGACAATATATATGTAGTATACTAGCTGTCCCATGTCCGGTGTTGCCAATGCCAATTTGTATTATTTTTTTTTACCCATTTTCATTTTTTGTTTTGACCGTGTCAGAATTGAATGAAAACATTTAAATGGAAAGTGAGTATTCCACCTACGGCGGTCTAAAAGTGTTCTATTGTAAAATTTTAATAGTGTAAATAATAGTAATAATTATAATTATAATAGTTTTTTATCCGTGACAACAAAATTATTATCTTTATCATCAAGGTAACCCTTGAATAAACAAAAGTAAATAAATAAATAAACAATTAGATATTTGTACCAAATATACCTAAAAACCCCTACTTTACCCTCTTAAAGGTTGAATTTTCAGAAATCCTTTCTTAGTGCATGCCTACGTCATGATACCTATCTGTATGCCGAATTTCAGCCCGATCCATTCAGTAGTTTTGGTTAGGCAATAATGAATCAGTCAAGACAAGTTATTTTGTATATATATAGATTATGTATATACCTTTCTTTTAATATACATTAATATTAAAGTGTGTTATTAGTATATAATCATTTTTATACCTATAATCCTCATGAATATTTTATATTTATAAAATGTAATGGGGTGAGGGAGGATTGGCTTTAATTTCGCCCCCCCCCTTTGAACATCATGTATAACCGCCACTGCATAATATAGGATGTTATATGTTAAAAAGATTTTTTTATTTAATCATTTAAAATCGAATTGGTAAAAACGATTATATCTGGACTCATACAGGACTTTATAGTAGACCTGTAGATTCTCGATAAATCAAGAAACCGTTCTAGAAAAAAGTAAAATAGAATTATTAATAATATTCGTAATTGAAAAGCAAGGTTGATTGGAGCTTTTCGAAAGTTGTTTACAGCACGAATAAATAAAAAAAGACGGACATACTTCTCACGCGGGTGCAGCCACTGTTGTAGGTGGGAATTTCGGAAGGTAGGGTACGGAAAGGAATTTATTGTTAGCATCTGTAAGCAATGATAAACCATAACTAATGAAAAAACGATTCTGAGCGAAGTTCAGTTGATAGTGTTGTTTTATTAAAAATATATATATATATCATATTGTGGTAAAATAATTTCTTTAATAATATTTGTTTAATATTTTATCTATTTTCCCGTTCTCTAGTTTTTCCTCAGTTTTTTGTTTTTGGTTTTTCCAATATGTTGAAAAAACTCCTTAGAAAATCAAAAAATGACCTCTTTAAAATACCTTGCCAGTCAAATTTCCTTTCAGAAAAAGTGCAATCATTTTGAATCGGAGCAAAATTACTAGTAGAAAAGTTGTACACAGAAAAAAATCACATATTTTTTACTAATACCTAAATTTCGTACATTTTCCGATTTTCTGACATTTTATCCTGGCTTTTTCCATATATTATGAAAATCGCTTGAAAAATTAAAAAACCAACTCCCTATAAAGTACCATGTAGATAAAATTTCCTTTCAGAAAATAAACTAAACTTGATAAATACATCGAAGCAATATGTCTAGTAGAAAAGTTTACACAACAAATCGAGGGGTATTTTGCGATTAAAATAATCCAAACGAGTGATGGCTTGGGACTCCAGGTACACCCAAAGTGCATTTTTTTTCCTTGTTTAAGGAAAACGTAAAAAGAGAAAAAAAAAAGAAAAAATTTGTTTCGAAACTCTGCAAGTTTTAGCTTGCGATCCCTAAGATGTCAATAGGAATGTATTACCATTAGACTACGACAAACTTATTTAAGTATAACATATTTAACAATAGTTATTTAACATAACATATAATTTCAGCATAATAGGTATCAGAACTTTAAAAAGTTATATAACCCTAAAACTATATCATTCTGTTCAATTTTTACTTCACCATTGTTTTTAAACCGGAAATATACATATTACGTTCAAAACAAAAAATTGAAAAATTAGATTTATTCCACATAATTTTTACTAGAAAGATTTTTGTCAAAATTTGATATTGAAATTTATTTATGAAAAAAAATACTATATTATAAAACTATTTTTTTTTTCATCACAAAGTACCATAAGACTTTTGATGTCTTTTAATGACTTTCAACCTCCTGTTAAATTTTCACGCATTTCTGTTTAGTCTAACAATTTTACCTACCGAATAAAAATCCCGTATATAAAACGCACAAAATTAAAATAGCTATAAATTGCTCAAAATGATTTAAATTTTTTGAAAATTAAACTAAAAATGGCACAAATGTTATTTTAAAATTTTATCATTTCTAGAAAAGACAAAAAAATAAATAATTGAAAAAATAATAAAAGCATTATTTTCGTAAATTTCCCGTTTTTCTTACGTTTTATCCTGGTTTTTCTCAGATATGAAAACCGCTTCAAAAATCAAAAAATGAACGCCACAATATTTCTTTTTAGAAATAGTGCCCCGTATATACATACCGGAGCAAAATTTCTGGTAGAATTTTTGTACACAGTATAAAAAAAAAAATAATAATTATTATCTTTGTAAAACCAATACATTTTTTGATACACTCAGAATTTAAAAAAACACACACATTATGGTAAAAGATTTTATCTGCTGCATGAATAGTAGAACCATTTTCTAGAGATTCTAATAATATTTCCCACGATGATTTACCTAAATCTATTCCTTATCAATAAGGGTATTTAAAAGAACATAACATTGCATCAATTGCTACTAGAATGAAGTGTTTACAATTTAGAACTTTAAATTCTTATTTAAAAAAGAATTGCGTCTATAAATTTGTACAATTTGTATGCAATGGAATATCAAATGTTTGACAAATAGATTCTACATTATAAAATAATTTTTCAAATTCTATATCACAATTTTCTCGAATACCGAGAATGTTTTTTTTAAACAGTGGATGCAGTTTTTAAATTTAGATAATATTTTCGAAGAAATCTACTAAAAGGAAAACTAATGGCCAATAGTTTTACTAATATATATAAGGTGTGGTTTGAAAATTCAATTATATTATTGCAGTTATAAGTTGATTTACTGCACTCGAGGAGACTGCATCTCTTAAATTTGGAATAAAATCCAAAACATGTAAAAAAGCTGGCTGGAGTTCATTAGTTTTTTTTTTTCAATAATTAAGAGATGATAATAAAAATGTAATTTTTTTCTACATACGTGTGTTCCCCTTGCACAAAACCAGATTAAAAAAAAATTTAAAAAAAATGAATATTGACAGAATTATTAGCATAAAGATAACACTGTAGGCCACTCTGTATTATACAAAATATAATCTGTAAGAACTTCTCGAATGTAAATATTGCGATAAGGTAATAATAGCAATAATACAACAAAAAACTAGTGATTGAATAATAATACTTTTTCCTATTTCGATCGAATATAAGCGTTTGATATCGAAATACCAGTCGAAGTAAATTATTGAAAAGGGTGTGATTGAAAAGTAGTTGGATATCATTTGGGAATACGATTACTGACAGAGATCGAAAACGAATCAGTTTCGACCGATTTTTGATCGAAAGTATTTTTACCAAAGTTATCCAAAAATGAACAAAAATAAAACCGACGTATCGATGTACCTATGAGAACAATTGTGAATTTAAACATTTTTTATCAAATAAAGTACTCCTGGAGAAAAATCCTTATCTTTTAAGGTACAATGCGAATAATAATTTAGAGCCTTTTTACTAGCTTAACAAGTTTTTACTAAGAGAAAAAAACAAAAAAAGAAACCATGGGATAATGTCAAAAAAGTGTTTACTCAAAAACACATATCGACAAAATACAAATAGTTTCTTCACTACACAGAGTGTTCTGCATCTAAATAACAAATTATAATGAATATTGAAAATTTATTCGCATAAACCACGCTGTATGGATAGTTTAAAGGATACATATTTAATATTTATTTATATATTATGTACATAACATAATGTACATTCAGACAGATCGTATATCTAAATAAAGAAACTTCGCTAAATATATATATATTTAAGCAGTATACCATGATCAATATACAAAGTAAATCAGTTATAAAAAATTGATTTATCTATATGGAAATTTTGCAGACGTTAACATTTATTTTACAAATAATGTACAACCCAAACTTAAATGGGCGCAGACAATCCAGACACGTCCAACTTTATTTTCTTTTTAAAGACTTTTTTTGTACAGTTTTCTTTTATACGTTATCTGACCTATTTTAGTTATACGTCTATATCAGTGGTTCCCAACCGGTGGTCCGTGGACTCATCTTAAGTGGTCCGCGAATAAAAAAATGAGCGAAATTATACTTGATATTTTTTATTATTAACGGCTTAGCGCCTAACAGCCAGATAACACACTATCGCGACCGATGACAATTTATGTACGGATATAAATAACATTCGGTCATGCGGGTACAGCTTAAATGCCTCATAAAAAAATCTCCCTGGTTTACTCTTCAGTGTGACGAAAGTACGGATGTAGCACNATGTTGTCAATTGCTAATGTTTGTTCGATTTTTAAGTGGAGATAATACAATAAAAGAAGAATTATTACTATCACAAGTATTAGAAACTACGTCGATAGGGGTTGACGTTATGAAAATAATTCTTGATTATTTTAAAAAACATAAACTAATGTGGGAAAATCTTGCTGGATTTTGTACTGATGGCGCTCCTGCTATGCTCGGGTCACGTTCAGGTTTAGCTACATTGGTAAAACAAATAAATCCTACCACATTAACTACGCATTATATTATACATCGTCAAGCGTTGGCGTTCAAAACATTACCAAAAGACCTAGCTTTTGCGATGAAAATATCTATACAGTTAGTGAATGCTGTTGAAAATAGTGCACTCAATACACGTGTTTTTCAAAAATTATATGCAAATATGGACGCTGAGCATGAAATATTACTATTTCATACTGAAACAAGATGGCTTACGAAAGGAAATATGTTGGCACGTTTATTTGAGCTTCGAGAGGAGATGAAGGTTTTTTTAATCGATAAAGGTATGAACTATTTACATGAGCAACTTTCTGAGCCAAAAATTGAAATGCAAATTGCATATCTTGCGGATATATTTGCCCATTTAAATCACCTAAATTTGCAACTGCAAGGTTCTGGTAATGTTAAACTTGAAGGTTCCGTAAATATTTTCGTATTTGAAGATAAAGTTTGCGCTTTTGTCTGCAAGATAAATCTTTGAATTGACAAAACTCAGGTGAAAAATTATTCTGTATTTCCTACACTGCGAGTTCTTATTGATGATGAACACTACAAATGTTTTACAGAAGATATTCAGAATAATGTATTAGAACACTTAAGAGTCCTTAAAGAGGAATTTACCAGATACTTTCCAGAATATGGTGTAGTAGACACTGATGTTGTTAAGAAATTAATTCGTAATCCTTTCACTGTCGAAGTCAACAACGTTCAAGAAGAAATGCAAGTAGAATTAATAGATCTTCAAAACGACAGCAACTTGAAGAGTTAATTTGAATATAGTACAAACTTAGAAGAGTTTTGGTGTAAAAAGGCCATGAGATATCCAAACATTCGGCAAACAGCATTACGTTTCCTCATGGTTTTTTCAACCACATATTTAGAGGAGCAAGGATTTCCTTCACTATTATCTATAAAAAACAAACAACGAAATCGTCTGAATCCAAGTGATGATATGCGACTAGCACTAAGCAACAGCATCGTTCCAAGAATTT